TAAAGAATTAGAATATTTCACCTCATAAAATGCCTAGGTTTAAACTTTATGTAAAAATAAATTCTGACCAATGGCAGTGTATTTATTCTTTCCAGCTCATTGCTCAAAAAGTACTCAAAACATTAGGTTTTCAAAAGAAATACAAGTTTAGTGAAGCATAGGATTTAATGATACCACTCTATGTTGATACACTACTATACTACATTACGCTATGTGATGCACTTTACGGTGATACACCACTCTTTTGTGTATAAATAAGTACAAAATGCAGCAAGTATAGTTAAGAATACTAAAATCAAATAACCAGTTTATCATTTATGAGCTGAAAACCATAGCTTTTAAATTTTAAGACCGGAGAACTGAAATATAGATTTTTAAAACTTAGAGAATGAAGACAAGATTTGTTGCAAAATGTAACAGATACAAATGCAATCATGTGAAAGCTAAGTTCCTTATGTTTTCATTTTTTTTTATTTCCTGGATTAAAATTTTCAGGAAATCGTTTTCATCAAGCCTTACTTTATTTTGGCTCCATGAACAATCAATAACTATTTTCATTTGCCTGTATAAATAAATAAAACATGCATAAAAAAATTATAGTAAAGAAAATATATTTTAAATTAATCAATAATTTCATTGATTTATTTAAGTTTTTTTCATTTAAACAACATTCCAGTTAATAGAAGAATTAAATTTTGTTTATAGTCACCTGCTAGTATGAAGTCTGTTATTCAGGCATTTTGGATCGTTACATCAGCATTCGGAGATTTGATTGTTGTCATACTATCAGTTGCAAAGCCTGTAAATGGAGTGGTAAGTTTTGAGAAATTTTTTTTACACAAATAATAATTGATTTATAAATATTTTAGTTGATTTTTCTTCTGGACTTGTTTAAAAATTTGTAAATGAATATAATTAACATAAATTAACATAAATAAAAATACTTTAGCTACTGAAACTAATAACTGAAATTTATAAAATGAAAGTTCAACCTTTGCTCAACCCTTAAACTGCAAAATGTGAGTCTAGAGAAACAAGACTGCTGTGCATAAGAAAAAGTTGAGCTTGTTATTACCATGGCGGGTGGTCAGCCAATTGGAAATCAGGGAAAAGTCAGGGAATTTTTTTCTAGTCAAGGAAATCAAGGAAAAGTCAGGGATTTCTAATTTTTTTTTCTCCAAAAGTCAGGGGGAAAATCTCTTTTTCAAAATTTTCTGAAAAGTTTTTTTTTTTACTTACTCCTAAACAACAAAACTTAAAAACTCACACTTTAAAATAAACTGAGTCAGGGAAAAATATAAAAAGTCAGGGAAAACTCAGGGAATTTAATTGTACAAAGTGGCTGGCCACCTTGCAGAGGCATGATAGAATTTGGATCTTCTCTTTTATGAGGCATTACCACTACACCATTAGTACATTTTATTCATAATTTTTCTAAGTTCATTTAATAATATATCGTCCATTAATTTAGAAAACTTATTGAAAGAATGAAAGTTAAACCCAAATGCTTTTGCATAAGGTGTTGTTTCAGATTTAATATAAGGTTTAATAAATTTCAATTAGTTAAATAATTTTGAGTATTTTTTTTTAATATATTTTCTAAAAATTTAAAAAAAATAGTAATCAAGACAACCATATTAACTTTTTGAGCTTTTTCTTATTGCATTTTCTTTTATAAATTATATACATTTTGTTAAAAAACAGATATTCTCCAAGACGTTGCTAATAATAAAATAGCTTGACTACAACAATTAACTTTAAATACGGCAAGTCACATAATAAATTTCTGCTTTAGTTTATATCGTTTTGCTTCTTTAGTGCTTCTCATTGGACATAATAGTGTCTTAGACGTTTAAAAAACGTATTGATACATTTTAATTCGTTTTTGGGACGCTTATAGCACGTTTTGTGACTACTATGTTGCATTCATTTTAACCTAACTTTTATTAATTTTTATAAATTATTAAAAAAATACTATTACAACACTATAAAAAAAAGAAAAAACAATATTCAAAGAGAAAAATATAGATAAAAATGTATTGTTAAGAGCAAGATATTAGATGGCGTAACCTTTTTCACGGTGGACGACTTGTTTTTATACCATAATAAAGTAGTGATGTCAAATCAAGAAGAATAAACTTTTTCTACCTTTAAAAACCACTTAAGAATTTAACACTATTTTTTATAAAAAAATTCCCTTTAATAAGACATATTTTATTTTTAACGTCTTGAAATATATCGGGTTAAGCATCTTTCTCATATGTAATTTGTAAAATAATTTTGAATTTGAATAAACAATAATGTATAACCAGAATATTACCTACTTTACTAACAATTGTATTTCAGTCAAAAATTTCAGTCGTCTTCCTTGAAAAAGGTTATTCCAAAGGTTAATACCCCGTTTATTCTGACTAAAAAGCATTTTAAAAATGTTAAAAAAATTTGCCAGGTTGAACTAACAGCTAGGGGTGTACCGGATTGGGAATTTGGAATACCGGCCAGAATTCCGGTCGAAACGAGGATTAATATATTTATAACTTATAATATATTATATATATATATATATATATATATATATATATATATATATATATATATATATATATATATATATATATATATATATATATATATATATATATATATATATATATATATATATATATATGTAAATATATATATATATATATATATATATATATATATATATATATATATATATATATATATATGTATATATATATATATATATGTAAATATATATATATGTAAATATATATATATATATATATATATATATATATATATATATATATATATATATATATATATATATATATATATATAACTTATTTCATTAACATTAGTTCTAATATTCATTTCTATCATATCATCAAATCTAATATCTTGTTTTATTTAAATGTTGTTTTTATTTGTTTCTTATTATTTTATTTATTGAAGGTTTTAGCATGCATAACATATATATTTAAAATTATTTCTTTGTTTTCTATCTTTCCATTTAGGTTAAAATTAAAATATTTATTGTATTATACTTTTTAATTATTTAAAGTTTAAGTAACATTAAAAGTGAGACTAATCTCAGAGGCAGGTAGAAGTTTTGATGAAAAAAGAGCTCGTTTGTTGGTAAAAGATGGATAGCAACTCTTTTTGCACCACAATGTTCCTAACCTTCTACAAATCCTTACATAATTGATTACTGCAAATAAAATTACATTAAGTTTTTTAAGAATTTTGTATTTTTTACCTAGGTTTACCTATAGTTTACTAATATCAGTAAACAGTCTCGCTATACTATTATTTTGATAACTCAGCGCCAAACCAGCCTATTCAACGAAATGAGATAAGAGGCCATCCATAAAGTACGTACACAGGTATGGGGGAGGGGGTTTCCCAATAGCGTACGAGCGCGTACAGCAGAGGAGGTCGGTGTTGAAGACTGCGAGTACGTACGCGGTTTGACTATTTCTCCAAAACATGATTTTTTTTTTTAAAAAACATTGAATTTCACGTGTGTACCAAATCAAAATTTTTTTTTTTTTTTTTTTACTGACTTTAGTTTCTTTTTTTCTAATTTCAGAGAAAAAAAAAACGAGTTAATTTTGAAAAAAAATAATGCGTACGTACGCAACGGCGGGGGGGGTGAGGTCTTTGAAAGCGTACAGGTTCGTACAAAGGGGAAGGGGGCTCCTAAATCAGTGATTTTACTGCGTACGAACTTTATGGATGCCCCCTAATTAGACGCAAAGTTTAAACAAAAAATCTCTAACCAAAGCTACTCAACCAAAAATAATGAAAAGTAATTGCGGCTCAGTGCACATAAAAATTTTAAGTATAATACTTCCAAAGAAACACTATATAAATCATTTTTTAATATAAATTAATTTTTTTCAACTTTGTTGTATAGGCAGGTTTGGCGCTTAATTATCCATTTTATGCAGTTATTTTTTAACATTTGAAGCATAAAATGCGTTCAAAATAAAACGTGTTTTATCAATAGATTATTCCGTGTTTATAATAATGCGTTAAGTAAACGTTTTGCTTTCCGGATCATTTTTTCTTTATTCCAAGTTAAGGTGGTAGGCCTATGAAAAACTTTTTGTAAGCATCAAAATAAAATTTACAATAAAACTAAGCATTTATTACCAATAATTATGAGACTAAACATAAAATCAAAAAAATATATAAAAAAGTGCCTCGCTTGCCTCAAAAATTTATTAAAAAGTGTGAAAAAAACGAAAACTTCAAAACACTATTTCTCAAAAGTGACAATAGATCAAAACTCCAAATTTGGTATGGTAGTTCTATATATGTATAAAATTCATTTGTCATAGGATTTTTTAATCTGCCTTCCTGGTTCAGATTATATTGACTTTTAAACTTGAATATATATTTTTATGAAAAAACTTTGACAGATAAAACCACATTGTAGCGCCCCAAAAAAAGAAAATTTAAAAATCTTATGACAAATGAATTCTACATGTATGAAGTACATATCCTGAAAATTTCAGCTTAACTGCTTAATTTAAACTGGAGATATCATGTTTTAAAATTTAAAAAAAAACTAAAAATCTCAAAATAAGAAAAATCAAATCAAAAACTAAAAATCAAAATTTATGTCTATAAACACTTCTTAAAAGCTACCAGAGCTATATGAATCTGTTTTTTCAGTATCTAAGTATCCCTTATAAAGAGATCTAAGTTTTTTTCTTTGCTTTTTGCATATTGAAGTTGATTTACGACGGTTGTTTACAATTCGTTTTTGGTCCTTTAAAACCAGTTTTGGAATAGTCACTGATCCTAACAATCCGAAGTAACTTAAAACAGATTTTACCCCATCTCCACCATCATTATAATGAACTATTGCAGAGTTTATACAAAGTTCAAATGTTCTTCTATTTACAAATATGTTTTTAGGACAACGAGTCCATAAAATTGAATGAAATGCTTCATTTGAATTTTGCGTTTGGCCATGTAAACATTTTCTTAGCAAATCGTCATCAGATAAATCTTTAAAAATAGGTTTTATTATATTATGAATAAAGATAGGTAAGTTAATTTTGTTAGTGTGTGTATTTGTACCTTTAAGTTTGTCTAATTGCCACTTGCACCAGGAATATTCATTCCTAGGACACATAGAATGACGAATGTTATTATCACTGAAATTTGTGCTGTGCCACAAAACTGCTCCTACTGCTTTTTTCATTGCATAAATGTTGTCAGTGTTGTTTCTAATTGCAATACCATAATAATTCTGCATTGAGTTAATTGCACTATTAGTCAAATTTCCTTTTCCATGTAGGGATTTCTCTGTTCTTTTATACTTCTGTACGATATTTCGCAAGCGTGTACCAAGTCGCTTCTGCACATGCCCAATGCACTCCAATTTTATTGGTTGAATATTATAATTTTTATATGGATTCGATTCTTTAACTTCTTTAAAAGATGAAGTATCACCATCCCCTAGGTATTCATGATAAATCAAATTGTACTTTTTAACTGATCGAGAAAAAATTTCCAATGCGCCAGCCGCCTCCATTGCACCAGATGACTTTGTATGGTTAATGTGACATATGTGATCTGCTTTCCATCTGTTGTAGGCTGGTGATCCTCTATGTTTTTTCCACATTGAACAACCTTTACAATGCTTAGAAAAAGCTTTAGTATCTATAATTTTGTTGTTGATGACAGCAGTTACAACACCATTTAGTGATGTAAAGCCCCGCTTTTGCCAAGAGCCATCAATTGTTACTCTTTGTTTTGTTGGAATACTTAATGTTTTGTCTTGAGCTTCTTCAGCTGCTTTTTTCATACTATTAAAAGCAGCTTTCTCATATGCTGTATAAATTGTTTGTCATTAATTGTTAGATTGTCATTAAGGTTAGAGAATGGTGTTTTAGATAAAGAACACATGTTCATGCATTGAGAAAATGTTTCCATTGCAGTAAAACCTTTACCGATTTCACGAAAACCAATTACTGCCCTTGCATTTGCTTCAAAGATTTTAGGACCTTGACCATGGTTTTGTGTATTACATTCTTTTGATGTATAAACAGATTTATACCATTCGCATGACTCACATAAAAGTTCTAAATTATGGGCAAATCCCTTTCTCTTCTTTCTGTTATCACTGAGAGTTATTTTTTTATGGCCACATTCAGGACATACTAACAAAGGTTGAAATACACTTTTGAGTACAGAGAAATTTACGAATAAAAAGTAATCATCTTCTTGTTTTATTACTTCACTGATTGTATTGAGATTAGTTTGATTCATAATTAGCCTCTTTTTACTTATGCTAGATGTAACTTTTTCTGATGAAATATTTGAAAGACATTTTTTTGAGTATTTATTTACAGGAGACTTCTTCTTTCTTTTTCGTGAAAAATTTTGCTTGCTGCTTTTTCTAGAAGACATTTATTACGATTATACACAAGTACAAATTGATTGATTTAAATTAAGAGTTGAAAAATTCATAAATAATGATTTTATACCACAGCTAATATAAACAGTTTAATATGGCAATTATTATAAGAAAATGTAATTTTAAAGCATGACCAAAAACACCGCAGATCTATATTATATTGGAAAAAGAAGTTGTCATTTTGGCCATCTAATTTGGGTAAAATAAGGTCTTAATTTTTCGTTGCTATGACGTTGCTAACGTAAACAAAAAAACTAGCTAACAAAATATGTTATTTAAAACACTTTTAATTTTATCAAACCTAAACAAGTCATATATCAGCAGATAGAGGATAAATTTTTACATAAATACAATATATTTCCTATTTTTTCAATTTTTGATCAAAAATCTCTATTTTTCATAGGCCTACCACCTTAATAAGCAACTTGATTGTTTTTTTTTGAAGCAACAAATTATCAACAATAACGCACTCACTTTTATTTTTAAGGATAAAGAAATGTTTCTATACGCTGGTGTAATGGTTGTTGTCGCCTTTATTTTTGCTCTCATGTCATGCTTTTATTATACGTATTCAGATTTCAGTGGAAATAAAACAGAAGTCAATCCATTAGATGCACTTGAAGAAGATGAACTTGAATTAAAAAAATCTGTCTCATCGACCCATTTATGAAATAAATGAGTGATAATATATATTAATTGTAGTATATATCAATTGATGATCCGGTGCGGTGAGAGAGAGAGAAAGAAAGAAGACTTGTCAATTTTTTAAATATCTTTTTTTTTAAATTGTAAACAAAATAGCTTTAGAAATAATTTTGGAAATGAAATAATTTTTTTTCAAAGATTTTTTATTAAAAATTTATTATAGAAATCTTTATATGCTTACAATTATTTCAACATTAAATTCTTACTGTTCTTATAGTTATTTCAACATTAAATTCTTACTGTTCTTATAGTTATTGGTCCAACTAATATCAAAATAGAGATTTAATGGGAATAAAATGTTGAATCCATTGACTTGAATGTAATTGGGAAAGATATTTGGAAATTATAAGGAATTCTTTGTTTTTTTTTTGTGGTGTAATTATACACTTTGAAGATTAATTTTTATTAAAACGGTTTAACATAATAACATCTTTTTATAATCACTACACCGGTTTAACAAAATAACATCTTTTTATAATCACTACACCGTTTTAAAAAGGTGTAAAAATCAATTATTGTAATGTTTTTTTCTTTTACACCTTTAAATAAAAACGGTGTAAAGATGTTTTACACCGTTTTACACCGTTTAATTAAAAGGTATTAAAAATAGAAAAACTATACAATACTTAATTTTTACATCTTTTTGAAACGGCGTAGTGATTAAAAAAAGATGCTATTTTACAATGTTTTATTAAAAGTTAAGCTTCAAAGTGTACATTTTTAATTAAAAAGTTTAAAATTATATCGTTTTGGTGTTTACATAACTTTGGTGCTTTACGAAAGTTATTTAAGCAAAGAGTTTAAACTTATACTGTTTTAGTATAAACGGTGTAAAATGGTGTAGGGGAGGGTGGGGAGAAGAAGAGCACGTAAATTTTTTTTTAGGGTTTATTCGTAAAAACTTAAACAAGTTTTTACGAATAAACCTTTCTTTTAGGCACCGGTTTAATCTCCTTAGGTTTTCAGCCAATTATAAGTAAGTATATAAATTTTTGCTTTTAGAGAAACCGTCCCACTAAGGTAAAGTAGGACAAGTGTGAGTAGTAGTGTGACAAATAAATTTAAAACAACATTTTAATACAAGTTATTAAGTATAAAAATCTTTAAATCTAATCGACATAAAAATGTTCAAGAGCGAAATAATCAAATAGCGACTGGAAAAAGCGGACATAAATAATTCTTTTCTCTGTCCTACTTCACCCCAATGTAAACACTTTTATAAGGTACATTTCAAAATTAGGGCTTCTTGTACACGCAGGGAAACAAAGCAATTTCTGCCAAATAGAGAATAAAATTTTTTTTACATTAAATAACAGTATTTAGGCACAATTCCTATTTAGAAATTTTAGGTTGTCCACCTTTCCCCGCGTCCCACCTCTCCCCACTTTTCCTTAAAGCTGTTTTACACCTGTTTACAATGTTATAATTTCAGTTTTACGCTGTTTTTCAAAACGGTGTTTTTCATAAAACGATGTAAGCTTTACCAGTTACACGGAGTAAAACACTGTAAAGCTTCTCACAAAACGATGTCACAAAACTGTACAAAAGGCTTTTGCAAATCAATTTGAAGTCTTTTTTTATTGAGCAGCTTTATATAAAAGTGTATCAGCATTAGATAGTGTAGAGTTGTTTCAAATTTTTTTTCAAAAGTGACCAACAGTTTTACACCTAAAAGATAAACTTATTAATAAACGTTGTTAGACGCAGTTTAGTGTTTTACGTTTTATTGTGGCATGATTATTACCATATATGGTATAATATATATAAACATGCCCAATATATATATATATATATATATATATATATATATATATATATATATATATATATATATATATATATATATATATATATATATACAGTTGCAAAAATAAAATAGCACCACTGAGCGTATTTTCCTTTTTGTTAAGAAAACACCATGCAAAATAAAATATTTTTATATATACAGCTTTGCTGTTTAAAATATTAGCTAATATGTTTATTTTCTAAAACAAATCATTTAGGGAAAAAAACTGCTTGGTGTTGCTCGATTTTAACCAAAAATGCCAATTCTGACCGAAAAATAAAATAGCACCACACACTCATTTGTTGTAAAATACTCTGATAACGGTAAAAATGATTGTGAAAATAGCAAGCGTTGGGTTTTTTTTTTTGCTGTTTATTCGTTTTGTGTTAGTGCGTATTAATAGGAGACATTTACATAAAAATGGGACACGGAAAACATTGTAGTGCAGAAAAACGAGAATTGATCCGAAAGTTGATATCAGCACGGTAAAATTATAGAGAAGTTTGTCGTTTAGTTGAGTGTTCCAATATAATGATAAGAAATGCCATAAAATTTTAAGAAAAGCCTAAAACACGTTGTCGAAAACGTTCTATTTCAACATTACTGGCCAATCGCTTAGTCTTACAGGCTAAAAAGAAACCTTTTAAAACAGCTACCGAGCTGAAAAAGGACTTTAACATTAGTGCAACAGTAAAAACAGTTTGGAGTTGTCTGCGAGTAAATGGATTAAAAGCCTGTAGCCCCAGAGAAGTTCCACTTCTAAGTGCCATACATGTTGTAAAGTGTATTGCGTTTGTTAAAAAACATTCAAATTGGCCACTCAAAAAAAGGAATCTTTTATGGACAGACGAAAATAAGATTGTGCTTTATGGTGGAACAGGCTCTCGGGCGTATGTCAGAAGATTGCCGAATGCAGAATGCAATCCAAAATATACCATCAAAACTATTAAACATGGAGGTTGTAGTATAATGATATGGGCATGCTTTTCTTATTACGAAGTAGGACCCATTCATCACATTACTACTATTATGGACCAACACGTTTATGTTGATATATTGGATATAGTGATGTTGCCGTATGCAGACTATGAAATGCCGTTGTCCAGGGTATTCTAACAGAACAATGACTTAAAGCACATTTGCAAGAAGACGAAGAAATGGTCTGAGGAGCATAATGTGAACGTTATGGAGTGGTCAGCACAGTCGTTAGATCTTAATCCAATTGAGAATTTGTGGGCTGACGTATAGGAGGTGGTTGCTACTGCCAAACTCACCACGAAGGAGTCACTTTGGAACGCAGTTAAGGAGACATGGAGCTAAATTCCGCTAAAGCGATGTCAGGACTTGGTTAACTCGATGCCAAGACGTTGTGTAGCCGTCATTGCCAATAAAGGCCAAAATACTAATATGTTAAGAAATAACTAATATTTATTGTAAAATGTTTAAAACAATTGATCTCATTTGATTTTCTTATTTTAAAGTACACATTAAAGCTGTGGAGCTATTATTTTTTTCGCGTTTTATTTGATTCTTTTTTGAATTTTTGTTTAATAAATGAATACTATATATTAAAATTTGTATATTTTGTTTTTTATAAAAATTATAAGCCATTTTACTTTTAAATATGTATTTAAAAGATTTTCAAACTATCAAAAATAGTCGAAAATTCTAATTTCAACCTATTTTCGGTGGTGGTGCTATATAAATATATATATATATATATATATATATATATATATATATATATATATATATATATATATATATATATATATATATATATATATATACATATATATATATATATATATATATATATATATATATATATATATATATATATATATATATATATATATATAAATATATAAATATATATATATATATATATATATATATATATATATATATATATATATATATATATATATATATATATATATATATATATACTATATATATATATATATATATATATATATATATATATATATATATATATATATATATATATATATATATATATATATATATATACATATATATACATATATATATTAGGGTGTTCCAAAAAATAGGTTTCTTTACGCAACCAAAAAGTATGGTATATATCCTGGTTATATACCTTGAGTAAAAGATAACCACCAAATTTGGGATCTTTAAACATACGGGAAGTGCTAGGTATAGATTTTCATTTTTTAATAAATACCCAATTAACCCAAATACCCATTTTCAATCCATTTTTAATAAATCTGGAAAAGATTGACAAAAATTAGCAAACAAAAAATAGTATATTTCTTAGGGCTCGCAAGTTGTTTAAATTCTTCTTCAGCACTCGCTTGTCAACCAACTTCCTTTTGTCCTTAGCCACCAGCATAATGTGTTGTCTCTAACTTTCAATGTGACTATGTACCAAGAATTCTTGAACTAGACGGATATTTCTCTTTGCGCAATCAATTATACATTGAATATTTGAGACAAATTCCTTAAAAAACTTGAAACTGGGTTGAAGGTCCATAAATGTGCCATCAGAAACCCTAGACAATACATCTTCTTTGCTGAGATTCAGGATAAAAATCAGGTGCCAGCTATTTTTCCCAACCAACTAATACTGCTGATTATTCTTGTCAATGATAATGTTATTTCTGATATCTGATTTCTTAATATCAAAGTAAGAAATATCCTCTAAATAGGGGTATTTCAAAAGTTCCTAGATCATTAATGCTTTTTCCTCATCATCTGCATTTGAATCAGCAAGTAACACAATAACAACATCTGCCAAGTACCATGTATGTTTAAAAAGAGAATTCTTAAGACTTTTACCTAAGAATTCATTGTATTCTTCTACGCATCCAGCAACTTTAATAGCCTTAAGATCATTAGAAGGTGCCTGTGATATAATTAATGTCTTGAGAAACCAAGGAATTTAAAATATAGCAACATAAGTTGCCACTTTAATAACTTCTTCTCTCTCTCCTCGTCTTTCATCAACGTAAGTGTTTTGTTGGTGAGCTCAAGCATTAGTGAATATATACCATCTGCCATAAACCTAGCTTCATGGCAAGCAGGGGGCTGGTGAAGTGAGAAGTCTAACTTTTTTACCTAAATAAAATGAACCTAACTCATGCAACTTTTTGTAGTCTGTTCTATCTTTAAAAAAGGTATTCTTGATGATTGTATTTCCCAAGAAATCCTTGGCCTCCTGTGCAATCTGATGCATAATCAAGCCAGCTTGAAAAATGTTCCAATCAAATCTGTTTAAAGAGTTGATATCCTATTTGCACACTTTAAAATTGTCTGGCCTATTTTTTTTAAACCTTGCATAAAGGTCTTTCCTCGATGCTTTAGTCATTCCAGTCAATGATTGCACCAAATAACAAATGTGTCTATCGTATATATGCCTGCGGCATAAGATCCACATAATATGCTTTCCAACAACATATTTGCTGATAAGTTGAATAGCCTTATTATGAGCACCCGTTGCCTCATTATGAGCACCACCAAACGGCAAAAATATTTTCCTCTATTTCAAAATATTCCAATGCAGTCTTTATTTCTTTTGTCTCT